AGCTGATGTACCTAGACTTGCTTGGTTGTTGTTTGAGTCCACCACCTCGATGACATCACCCACCTTCTTCTCCTTGTGTTCTCCTTGTTTGAGCACCTCCAGAAACGCCCTCAGCACCTTAATGTCCAGCAGCTCCATCTCCTCGCTGTTGAGGGCGAGCAGCGTTTCGAGGTTCAGTTCTGGTTTAGGAATTGGCTTAGCTGTCTGTCCATTTGAGGTGATGGAAGAAGTTGGTGGTTGTGAAGAAGGAAGAGGAGGTGGAAATGGAATAGCTGAGGAGTTTGCGGATTTAGTTTCGGGTTTAGGAGGAGGTGGCGGAGGAGGAGGTGAGGTGGCAGTTTTAGTGGTAGCGTTTCCGGTGGTAGAACTGCTTCCGGCGTACTGCTTCAGCAGACTGGTGTACGCCCGGTAGCTGCCCTTGGGGAAGTTTCGATTGTTGTTTGTTGACTGCACGTTAGAGGCCATCCTGTTCTTTTAGCTGGATCTGAAGAACAAAAATACAAGAGTTGAAGAAAAGTGTGTGTGTGTGTGTGTGTGTTGCACGAGATGAGAACGATTTGTTATTTAAATTAAATTTCGACTGAATTCGCCTGATTGTCTGAGCGTTGTGGTAATGAGCGTCGGCGGTGGCTCACTCGCTGCCTGTTATATACTTTTACACAAGCTTTCTTGGCGGGCAAGTTTGCCTGTGCTGGTGGCAGTGGTAATGGCAGAACAGTGCCTGGTGATAATCAAAGTGGGCAATCACGTGTGACGTTCCCCTCTCCTCTCTCCCTTTTCTCCTAAGCAGCCTCTGATGAGACAGCGATGGTAGTGTACGAAAGTGCAATCCTCTGACACGCAACTCTGTGCTGTCTTGTGCTGTGTGTTGGGGATATTTCGCAGACGTGTTTGCCTCCGGAGGTGGTGGTGGTGATGACGCATCAACAGGTGGTTGTGAAATCATCAGCCTGCCTGTCTGCACTTTTCGCTCAGCTCAGTTTTTTCTTGTCAAAGATTGAGGTGCACACTGTGCACCCCCTCTCTTCTCTACCTTCTCCTCACTTTATCAGGCCTTTTAGACAACAACAACAAAAATTGTTGTTTGAGCTAGTGACCATCGCCTGATGATGATGTACAGTGGCAGAACCTGAACAGGCAGCGGTACGCCGGCATCAACCACTAAAAACTAATTTCCAATGGCATTTTAACAGCAACAGCACACATACACACCGGGAAGGAAGTGTGTATGCCCTTTCACTACTACTAATAATAAGTGCTAATGATGATGATGATGGTGGTGGTGGTGGTAGCGGTAGTACTCTACTTTTACTCTTACTCACTTTTACTCTAATCAGTAAGTGCAATCGACCGGAACGACGACGATATGGTAATGGGTAAATAAAAGTGGTACTGCTGCCACTGATACTGTGCTCCAGTACTTGTAACTGCCCCCGGTTCTTGTTGTCTTTCCAAGTACTCTATTGTTATCAATTCCCAAAGCGGCTCCAGAACACCACACTGAGATTAGTTATTTTGATGATTCTAGGCAACCAAATCTCTCCCCAAATGACCCTTCTTCTAATCATCAAGTGGAAGTTTTGCGTGGCCACGTCAGTAGTTTTTTACCTCTCAGTACTTCCTATCTGCTTAGCATGAACAAACTCTTTGTAGTACAAACTCTGTAGGGGCTTAAGCTTTGCATAATTTATTGGCGATTGTCACACATACGTCGCTGAATTAGACAGATTTTTCTTTCATCGCACACTAACAAGTCGCACAGGTCACAGCACACTGGTGTACTGCTCATGCATGCGGCAACAACAACAGATAAAAAATAAAAGTAAAAGTAAAACAAAGTAAATAAATACAAGCAGTGGAATGCGTCAACGCGTGAGTGCGAATAAATAAACAGACTGGTTAACAACAGGAAAGGTGGTGGTGATAAATCTAGTTCAGTGGTCAACAGAGAAGAAGGAGAACAAAGAAAAAAGTATTTGATGGCACAACAAGGGCAACAAGAGGGACTGGAAAACTGTCTGCCTGCCAGCTGACAGACAGACAGACAGACAGCGTTTTCTATGTTTGCAGACGAAATCTACTAGTGTAACTGTCAAGCAATTTTGCTCAGGTTGTACTACTATTTGTTGCCTGTTGTGTAGCTGCTGATAAAGTCTTTGTAGGCGCGGTAGCTGCTCGCCGTGGAGCGAAAGGGGGCCGCTGAGAAGATGGAAGGTTTATTGCTGCTGGTATTTGAAGTTGCTGAAGAAGTTGTGGCAGCAGTTGTGGTTGTTCCAGAAACGGCCGCTGCTGATTTAGGTCTCACTGTTGGTGTAGGTGATACTGAAGGAGGAGGAGGAGGAGGCGGAAGTGACGGCTTTTCCGGGGCTCGTTTAACGCTCCCATTGACTGCAGTTGCAGCAGCAGGTGTTGCCGGAGATGCATCTAAAGGGAGAACATTTTAGCAAAAACTTTCCAGAAATAGTATTTTAGCAAACCTTTCACAAAGTTTGATGGTGATGGACTTCGCCGTTGAGGTTTAGGAGAAAGAGGGGGTGGTGGTGGCGGAGGAGGAGGAGTGGAAGGCTTGCTTGGACTTGCCGTCCTAGCTATTTTTGGAGATGCTGGTGGAGTGCTGATTTTTGTGGTGGTCGTTGTCGTCGTCGTCGTCGTCTTCTCTGGGGTTGACAGCGCAACCTCAACTGAAGTGCCTTTGCCTATATTCTCATTGCTACTTTTACCATTTTCTAATGGAATTACTACCTCTTTTGCAGCAGATGTATCATTGCTCGTCTCCTTTTCCTTTTCATCATTGCCCTCAAACGGAAGCGGAAGCGGCGACGCCGTCGGCGCCGGTGAAGAGGGCGTCGGCGAGGGACTCGGCGAGGGCGTCAGTGATCTACTTGGCGATAGACTTGGTGAAGGAGAAGATGTCACAGTTGGATGCTGTTGCTGAGGTGAGGGTAACAGTGTGGGCACAATGTCCGGTGGTGGTGGTGGGGGTGATGAAACTCCCTTTTCAGCAACATTATTTCCCACCTTTCCGTGGTAGCTAATCTGCGTGCCGTACTGTCGATTACTGTTTCTGCTGCTTCCGTTTTCAAACGGAAGTTTTCCCCTCTGCTGATTGTTAGCGTAGTTTGCGTGAGCGGAAACGGAACGACTGTAGGCGACGGTGGTTGGAAACTTCTTTGGTGATCCCAGTTGAACATCGGAATTGTTGCCTCCACAAATGAAGCACTGGCTGACGCCGCAGAGGACCGCTCGGTCCAGGGTTGACTGCAGCTGGGTGAGTTCTGCTTCAAGACGTTTTTGGAGGTTATCATCACTTTCAGCGACCTCCTTGATCTGTTTCTCCACCGAGCGAAGCTTCCTCTCGTAAACTCGATACTGATTGAGCTTGTGAGGCAGGCGGAGGGTGGCCAGTTCGGTCGCTAGGCCCTTCATCTCCTGTTCAATATTCTGAAACTGAGTGGCCATGGCTTGAGGTGGAAAGTTGAAATGATAAAAGAGAGAGAGAGAGAGAGAGAGAGAGAAGTTTAGAAGGTCAGCCACAGAATGAGGTGTTGTCAGAAAGGAGTTTTCACTTGACAAGAAAGAAACAAAACACAGCCAAAAGCACAACCAAAGAAGAAGATGAACGAACCAAAGTGTCGTTGCTGTGTTTAGAAATTGTGTTTGATGTGTGTGTGTGTGTGTTTTTGCAGAGACGTTGTCGTGTGGCAAACGGAGTACTGTACAACACACACACAACTCAGTAGTGCATCATCTTGTAGAACATCATCATTACCACCGTTGCCGCTGCCGCCGCCGCCGCTGCCATCGTTGATGCCGCCGTCTCCATCATCATCATCATCAACTTCTTCTTCTTCTTCTTTTACTTTGGTAGCAAAAGTAGTAAACTTGAGATTGAGTCAATTATCATCACCATGGTAGCATCGGCATCGGCAGCAGCAGCAAAAGCCGTCGTCGTCGTCGTCTAAGTGTGAGTCTGAACACCGTCGACACTTTGACTCGACTCGACTCTGATCACTGCATCAACAAAAAGAACAGTCGGCAGACGATGAAGAACAGTTGAGAGGAGAAAGAGGAGAAAAAGACGGCGTCGCTAAGCAAAGAACTACCACAGTTGTGCTCCTGACGACACTGCTGCAGCAATTTTAGTATTTTTCTCAAGAGCTCTTGAAAAGCGAGAGAAAGCGCCTGGCCACTCTTCTCTCGTTGTCTGCCTGTGCTGTTCTTTGGCACTGTTCTTTTACCTTCTTTTACTTTCACTTCTTTTTGCTAAGCAGTTGTTGGTTACTGCTGCTGATTTTGCATCCCCACAGCAGCAACGGCGGCACTAATGCAAACAAGAAACAAAAAAATTTGCGTAGTCGTCGAGTTACGAGAGTGTGTGGATGGATGGATGGATGGATGTTAAGAAAAAAGAAAAAGAATGGAGGAGAAAAGGGGAAAAATGATCGGCGGCAGCGGCAGCAGCAGCAATGGCTGAAAAGTGTGATAAAAAAGGAAGTGGGCACAAAACAAGTACTTCGGTTGCTGCTGCTGTTAGGGCAATTGAAAGACAGCGGCAGCAGAAGCAGGTAATAGAGTGTGAGAGGTAAGAGTGATCGATTGAGTCGGCTGACTGGACTGGACTGGACAGTAGCACAAGAAACAGTAGCAGCAGCAGCAGTTGATTGTCTCTTAAAGGCAACGTTCGCCACGTCGTTGAAACTGGGCTGAAACAGCACAGCAGCAGCAGCGAAAAAATCGTTTTCAGTATTAATAGTTCTGAAAAAAAAGTAGTAAAAAGAAGAGGAAAAAGAAGAGGAAAAGGGCAATAAAGAGGTGCTTGCTACCTACTTTCCCTTTCAGCTCACTTCTCTTTCCGCAATGCACGATGAAATCAGCAAAAAGAGCAGTGTTTCATTAGCGCGATCTTCGTCGTCGTCGTCGTCGTCGTCGTTCGGTGTGGTTGTTGTTGTTGTCCTGCTTGATTAGTCGGTTAGTTGGTGAGTAGGACAGAGGCAGCAGCCAAAGCAACCAAACAGCAGGTTGTCACCTTGCCCTCTTTGCTGAGTGCTGAGAGAGAGAGTCGACATAAAAGTGCACTCTGTTCTTGACTATATAACACAATTTTTGCATAGCTGTTGTACAACAGTAGCAGAATTTGTACAGTAAACTGCGTACGGCAGAAAGTCCAGATAGTTCCAAAGTCGGCCACGAGATTGAGACTCTCAATTAAAAAAATCGAAAATAAAAGAAGAAGGAGCAAGAAACGAAGTTTCTTTTGACGTACGAATTTCGCTCGTACTTATTCGCTCATTCGTTAATTTGATTGCCGACAAATTAAAATTAAAGTTATGAAAATTGTAATAAAAATTAAGGGGATGGCTACATCATGATGAATAAAAGTGAGAGAAAGAGGAGGGCAAGTCTAGTTTAGCAGAAAAGTTAACACACAGGCAGGCACACAGACTAATCGCAATTCAATTAAGTGGCACAATTCAAAACTTTTTGTCTATTTGCCTAACTGCTTTTGTTCTTTCTATTGTTGGTTTTAGTGGTTTTGGTTTTAGTGGTTACCAGGCAAATTGCTTTGCCTGTAGCTGTGTGCTTTAGATTCGGCAGCAGCAAGCAATTTCAGTTCTTTTTTGCAGGCATATTAATTAGCTAAATTTAATTTTGATTGCCCGCTTAAATTACATTCGTTTTACAATTGCAAAATAGTCTCATAATTTAATTTGATTAGAGTGCCTAAAAGTTTTGTTTGAATAAAAAACGACGACGACGACGACGATTGTCGGCAATTCATTTGGCAAACAAATGTTTTTTTGGCGGGGGTTAACTCAGTCTTTCAGTGAAAATGAGAGGAAACCCTACTCTTATTATTCTTTTCTTCTTTTTCTTCTTCTTCTTTCACAATAGCAGTCTAGTGCCCTAGAAACACAAATCTTAGCGCAAATATAGGAAAAGGGAACAAATTAGTGCAAACCAAGTACTAATGCAAAAAGCAGTGCACAGTTGAACCGAGAGAAATCGGAGATAAAAAAGGAGAAAAATTCTGATGCTTTTTAGCAGACATGGAGCAGACTGTTTGTCGCTGTTGTCGTAGTCGTCGTCGTCTTCGTTTTCTCCGTTGTTGGGCTTGGCTCAATCATCTCAACACGCAGGGGCAATCATCATCATCAAATTAGCTAAATGGGCGAGACTGGCTCACTCTCTTGTAGTTTTTTTCTCTCTCATTAATTACAAATCGACACAGCAGCAGCAGCAGCAGGACAAACTGGAGGGTAACAAGATTAACTTTTAGGGGAGGAGGCAAATTACGGCCAGCAAATCAATCTGACAGACTCTGGCACACATATAAACACATATTTTGGCCTGTTTTTGCCCTCCTCCCTCATTTTTCTTATTCTTGAATCGTGTCAGTGGGCTTGTGTGTTAGTAGCAGAAAATTAAAACAGAGTGGCAACGCCTGAGAAAAATTAAAATGTGAGTAGTTATGTTTTCCACTAATGTCGACGATGTGCAGATGGGCAGTGTAATTAACACTGTTTTTTTCTGGAGAGTGAAAACAGAGCCAGAAGAAAAGAGAAGAGAAGAGAAGAAGAAGAAGAAGAGCCAACTCGGAAACAGTGAACACACTGCTACACTGCTGAAATTAATTATATGCAAGCTAAAAGCTGAAGGCTAGCGTGAAGGAGGCTTGTTTGCTTTTCTTCTCTTTTACTTTCACTCAAGTTTAAGTTGAGGACACCATCAGGGGGGTACTTGAGGGTAGTACAGTTCAGCTCTACTTGACTTGCCTGCCTGCCTAATGAAAAGGTGTTGGAACTGTTGCTGCTGCTGATTGCTGTTAATTGTACAAAAAGTGAAAGGAAGCAGTGGTTGAGTGGTTGATTTTGAAGAACTCTGCTCTGGTTGAATGTAACAGGAAAAAGAAACGGAACTAAACATTGAATCAAAACACTTGAAAAGGTTTGGGGTAAAGTCATCAGAGTAATAGTGCTCATTCAAGGAATCGCACAAGTAGTGGTTTTGTCTGCTACTTCATTTGAAAATTAATTAGGTTGCGAAAAAATCCTTCAAACACATTTTGTAAAAATTAGTTTGGTTTTTATTAAAAACCCGTTACAAACTAACATCATAAGCAATTTTTACTACACCAAAGTTAGTAAACCAAAAAAAACAATAAGCAAGAACACCATCAATTTTCCTTAGACAAACAGTCATCACTTGGCGGGGCGTTTTATTGCCTTTTGCTTCTGTTTAGCCAACTTCCCGTTTTCTTTTCCTTTAACAAAAAATACAATAAAATCATCAGAAGAATCATAATCAGATGTAAAATTCAGCAAATTCGTGCCGACAGGGTAGATTGCGTTTGGGAAGAGACAAAAAAATAGCAGGTGTTTTCCAGGCAGCCCCCATTTTCAACCAGGCAGTGCCATTCAGGCAGGAAATGACACTTTTATTCGTTTACTGAATCATCAAACACTAAAACAGCAGCAGCAGCAGCAGCAGCAGCAACAGTGGCTCTGGAAACACTAGAATCCCGGTTTCCAAATAAGGGTAATTCTGCTGTGCCACGACGACGGCACCAGCAGACGTAAACATAAAATAAACATTATTCCAATTTGCAAGCTGCTCAGTGTGCTCAGTGCACTGTTGAGATCCAACTGCTGCCACCGTCACCACCACCACCACCACCACCAGCACGATTGGAAAAAGCAAGAAGAAGAAGAAGAAGTGTCATAAATCACGGTTTAATAAAATCACTTGATGGAAATTTAAAGCCTTCAAGTGCTGCTGCTGCTGCTGCTAAGGCAAAGGCAAAGGCAAAGGCAAAGGCAAGTGCAACCATCTGTGCAACAACAGCAACCAACTGACTACTGTTTTGTACACTTGCTGCTGCTGCTGCTGCTGATTCTGCTGTCGCTGTAGAATTGCAAGAACCNGGCTGACTACTGTTTTGTACACTTGCTGCTGCTGCTGCTGCTGCTGATTCTGCTGTCGCTGTAGAATTGCAAGAACCACTTTGTCTTTTCGATGTGTGTGTGTGCTGGTAGTGGTGGTGGTGGTGCCAGCAAATCGCCTTCAATTTCAATTACCAGGAAAATCAGGGAAGGTTGGGAAGTGGGGGAGGAAAAAGAGGAGGAGGAAGAGGAGGAGGATTGGAAAAAAAGAAAGAAGGATTTTTTTCACAACCAAAATAAGCGTGAGTGCAAGATAAATATATAAGGCTATTAAAATGTCGACAAACGAGAATTAAAATATTAGGGACAGCAGCAAACTACAGCTGAAAGCTGTGTTGTGCTGTGCTTTGCTTTTTGAGGACAGAAGGACAATAGAGCTTGCCAATATATCTTTCGTTTTCAGTGTGCACCACACACTGCTACTTTTTGCTGTCTAAAGTATAAATGCTCATTAGCTGTACCGTACACTGTTAGTTTGCGGTTTTGTGGTTTGGTGGATGTAGTGAACATATCGACTTT